CGGAGAAAAGGCTGTTATGGAAATCAACTTAGAAGGACAAGCTAACAAAAAATATGTTCTTCCTATATCTAGATCTAGGAAGTCAACGCACGTTAATTAGAAACTGATTTCAAGGAACTAAATGTAGAATATGACTCTGCTGATATTCCAGCTTTGAAGGGCTTTGATAATTAGCATATACGACCATTAGGTAAAGTGACTATCAAGTTCCAAGTGCAATCCGTAATAGCAAATGTAGACGTTTTAGTAGTAACCGATGAATTGCTTAAACACGCAGTGTTGTTAGGTCATACATTTACTGAACAAGCTGAAATGATTATAATTAAAACAGATAAAGAACTCATTTTACAACAACAACCAAAATTAGACAACGACGAGAAACAGAAATAAAATTAACTATAGCTTCTGGTTCAGTAGTACACATATGAATGCTATACGTATAAATACACAGGATCGTGATGATTTAGAATCCCTGCTTAAAAGTATTGAGATTGTTTTTTATTCAGTTAAGCGGACATAGGAGTAACTAATTTAAGTGAAATGCACATCAATATGAATGACAATACACCAGTTGTTTACAGACCGTATAGGTTAGCATTTTCAGAGAGGGAAAAGGTTAAAGACATATGGGAGAAATGTTAGATTGTGGCATTATTACGGAATCGGCATCCTCGTATGATAGTCCTATAACTCTTATGAAAAAGATAGGTGATCAGCGATTATGCGTGGATTACAGAGAATTAAATGCCAAAACTATAAAAGAACGGACTAAGAAAAACAGAAGCAGTGGAAAAATTTCGATGTCCAACAAATCAACACGAAGTAAGACAATTTATAGGATTAGCAAGCTTCTTTAGGCGGTTTGTCAAAAATTTTGCGTTAATTGCTACTCCGTTAGCTAAATTATTGAAGCATATCTTAAAATGGGAATGGGGTCTGACTCAAAATCAAGCTTTTATTCAGTTAAAATCACAATTACTAAAAAGACCAATTATGGCATTATACAATGAATATAACTGAAATACATACCGATGCTTCGAAAACCGGAATAGCTGGCATATTAATGCAAAAAAATTAATTAGGAAGGTTGCTGGTTATTTCAACAAAAGTATCACTTTTTTTAATTAGAAACAGACAGTTGTTGCCTCTTTGAATCACTTCAGAATTTATATTTTATGGATTAAATATACAATAGTAACAGATTGCAATGCATTATGAACAAATCTGTCAAAAAGAGATATGATACCTCGCACAGGTAGGTAATGGCTGCAGCTGCAGGAATATGATTGTCAAATTGTGTATAGACCCGGTAGTAGGATGAATCATGTAGATGCTCTTAGTAGGGATGGCACCCGATCCAGATACCGTATTTGATGTCTTAGGCATAGAAACTGAAGATTGGTTGACTACCATTCAAAACGATGATGATAATATATTGAGAATTAAACATATGTTAGAAGACACTGAAACACCTAAAAAAGTCAATAATAAGGCAAAATTACAAACATATATATAAAGTCATTGATAGTCGGTTAAAGTGGGTAGTATCCGGAGGGATAAGGTGGCAATTATTGAAACGTAACTATGACGAACTTGGTCATTTCGGAGTAGAAAAAACATTAGATAAATTGAAATCGTCAAGGAATATGTCCAATCTTGTTTAGAGTGTTCATAAAAACAAGGAATGCTCCATCCCATCCCAAAAATAGGTAAACCTTTTCACACTGTACATTTAGACCAATTAGGACCCTTTGCAAAAAGTAAGTCCAAAAACACTTACCTTTTGGTTATTATTGATGCTTATACTAAGAGTATAGCATTATTATTTTTAAAAATACGAAATGAAAGTCGTTTATCAAACGTCTTCATAATTATTTTAGTGTCCCGTCCGCTGCCTGGTCCGCGTGGATTTTTTTCTAGTAAACTTTTCTTTAGATTTAAACATCTAGCAGTTAAATGCTTAACAAATAAATAAAATCATATTTTAGTGTATTTGGGGTACCGAAACGAATTATAAGCGACCGAGGAACTTCTTTTACCAGTAAAATCTTGAAAGAATTCATTAATAAATTAGGTCAAGAGGAACGATATAACCGTATCATTTTGGCTCCCTTGGCAGTAAAAAATCATAACTGTGGGGAAAATGAATGTGATAAGCATATAGCAGAAATACAGCTGGGGTTCAATACAACGGTTAACAAAGGGATAGGTAAAAGTCCAGCCGAGGTTCTATTTGGGATACGCCTCCAAACAAAAGGGGGTGGAAAAGTTTCATCACTATTGGATAATCATGAAACTAGGGAAACCACTATAGAAGAAGTAAGGTGAGGAGTAAATCTAAAATTAGACGATGCTTCGTCTAATTTTAACAAATTTTAGTAAGCAAAGCAAAAAGAGAAGTATGATAAAACTAGATTAGTGGCAACTAAATATAAGATAGGTGATCTAGTTAGAATAGAAATTAATATTGGTAATAATCATGGTAAATCTAGGAAATTACTTCCTAAGCTACATGACCTTTATAGAATAGTTAGAGCTTTAGACAAACATAGGTATAACGTAGAGGATACAACATTAACTAGCAAACAAAATAGAAAGGACCAAAGCATTATTTCTGTCGATAAGATACATCCTTGGTTGACATTCCCTACAAATTATTCCGTCGATTCTGGAGATGATTCAGAATCTGGTTAAAGTGATCTCAATATTAATGATAATAGTAGTGAGAGAGTTGATCAGTTTGAGAATGATGTGGAAGAAGATAGTAGGTGTGATGATAGAATTATGAACTATTGATTCACTGGTTTAACTTTTATAATTGATTAAATGAAATGATAACGAACATTACTGATGATGACAATGAATTACACAAAGGAGTCTTTTGACAATCAAGGAGTGTAATTCATAACGAACTTATTTCTGTATTGATAGTAAATAGTTAGTTCAATACAGTGAGGTAGTAAGAACTGCCAATAAGTGTACTAAAACTAACTCTATACGGAAGGAGGCTTTTCGGCCATTGAATGCGTTTTTGATTATAAATGATCAGGAGGTTTTTTAAGCCAATGAAAGCGTCTGTGGTTCGTAATAAAGCCAGGAGGTTGAAGGCCAAAGATTGTTTATTAATTTATTACTTATAATGTATATGTAAAATGAGAAGAGACGGCTGAGCATTGATGTTATATACTTAATATGTTAATATAATATATAGTATTATCTTTACTGAATTTGTAAATGCATGAAAACCCTTCACGATGACGTGAAAGACAGGATGGCCGATTGTTATCAATTTTGGTTGTAAATGTATCTCACAGTAACGCCATCTATTGTCGCTTACCAAAAATATTAAAATATTAATCAATTTCCGATCACGAATACGGATTTTATATTATATTTTGTCAGTGGCAGTGAGTGGCGTGAGTGACTTGCTTTATACAAGCGGATTATGATAGCATTCGGGCATTCTTTGTTCGAGCGTCGTAGAGTGGTTTATGGTTCTTTAAAAATAATATTATTGCAGTGTGTGACTTATAAATTGATAATTTGGTGTCAGGATATTAAAAAGTGAAAAATTGTGAAGGTGTCATTGTTGGCAACGCCGCCAAAAGATTAATTTATAAGACACTAGGGGCCCGCCCTCGCTTCGCTTCGATGTAGAGCTGTAGTGTAGGTAGATAATAGTTGTTGTTCTCAGGCTTGTATTATACACAATGGATTTCTTTATATGATTATTTTTCTCGCCTTTTAAACCTTCCCTAGACCTCCTCGAACATTTCAAGACTAAGATAAGATAAATCCGTTCAGTCGTTCTCGAGTTTTAGCAAGACTAACGAACAGCCATTGATTGTTATATATATATAGATAAGATTTTTTTTATGGAACTCGGGCATGCGCCCTCTCTTGCTGCACCGCGTGTCCAACAATTGCATTGTTATTGTGTGTGTTATTGTGCAACTTAATAAATTACTAAGTCAAAGAAAACTGGTTTCCCTGAACGTAAAGACCCGCCAGTCATAAATAAAAATTAAAAAGATGTTGTAATTTATATTGTGTTTCATTCCGCTCCCAAACTTCTGAACTTTACTTCTTTATGTACTTCTATTACTGTAATCTAAAATTATGGATAGGTATCGACAATTTGGTTTCATTTTTGTACAATATTTTATTTTATTATTATTATCTTATATATAAAATTCTCGTGTCACAATGTTAGTTACCATACTCATCCGAAACGGCTTGACCGATTTGTATGAAATGTTGTATGCATTGCCCCCAAGTGATAAGGGTTGTCTACCCCTAACATATTTATTTTACTCTTTGGATATTTTTTTATATTTTTATAATGTTGCATTAAAAATACAAACAACCCTAAATTTTCACCCTTCTTTCATCAGCCCCTATTTTTATGGCGGTACGAAGTTCGCTGGGTCAGCTAATTTATATATAAACAAGTAATTACTTGTTTTTGCTAAGTAATTACTTAGCAAGTAATTTCTTGTTTAAAGATACGAGTGTTAGTAACTTGAAATAAAATATTAGAATTGTGTCACAATACCTTTTGGGTTTTGCTAATGCTGGGGCCGCACCTGCTTGCATCGCCACAAAGCTTCGTACACGACACGGCATGGCATGATGCTGCGCGCAGATGCGACTTGTTTAATATGGTTTTCTAAATAAATATACTTTCATATGTACAGTATATGTATTCTCTCCGTTACCCTAGTATCCCATAACACAAGCCTTACAGTGCTTACTTGAGTGTTGGAAATATTTATAATTTATCTCGCAAGGGCGGATCCAGCTTTGGCGCCAGGGGGGGGGGGGGGGGGGGGGGTTATATAGTCGTGGTATATTAAATATTGAAAGTACTTAAATAAAATCCCCCTGGGTTTGGTCCATCTGTACCCAGCCCAGGGCCCCTGGATCCGCCCTTGTTATCTCGAGGTCCTCGGGCTTCGGAGGGCACGTCTATTGTTTCTTATGGTATGGTTTTTCGACAGACAAGCAGTACGCACCGGACAGCGCCAGCGCAGGCGGCGGGAAAGCGGCTTCGCCGTGCAAGGTGTGCGGCGACAAGGCGTCCGGCTACCACTACGGCGTTACCTCGTGCGAGGGATGTAAGGTAAGGAAAACACTTTGCGCGTTCTTTTTGGCAGGAAACCTTGTCTACCATGCTCGGTCTGTGCGACCGGGTCGAGCGGTAGAGCATAGCGGATTTACCACTACTACCACAGCGTTACCTCGTGCGAGGGATGTAAGGTAAGGAAACACTTTGCGCGTTATTTTTGGCAGGAAACCTTGTCTACCGTGCTCGGTCTGTGCGACCGGGTCGCGCGGTAGAGCATAGCGGATTTACCACTACTACCACAGCGTTACCTCGTGCGAGGGATGTAAGGTAAGGAAACACTTTGCGCGTTACTTTTGACAAGAAACGATAATTGTTTTTTTAGCATATTCCTTGAAATACGAGGATGGTTCTTACGCAGAGAAAAATTAAAAATAAAAGTGCCTGAAAAAGTCCAAAAACAACCATTTTCTATACTCCCATACAAACGGTCAATTTGAACTTTAATACCATACCATAAATTTCAAATGTTAGTGGGGAGGTTCCGGGAAGGCAAAACAATTGAGTGACGTGATGTCAATAGAAGTTTGGAAAAGGCAAGTATACCATTTTCAGTTTTATTTTTTATAATTATATGATGATATGATACGCATTTTTGTCTATACTACAGCTCTACACCGAAGCGAAGCGAGGGCGGGCCACTAGTAATTACATAAAATTAACTTTTACAGGAGCTGCATAAAACTAAATGACATACATATGGAGCTTTTGGCATGGTTTTTAATTCATAAATTTAGTAATAGGGATGATGACTAATTTTTCGTTTATCAGGTAGATTAGCAAAAGGTATTGGACACGTATTTTTTCTTTATGACTATAAAAAGTGACGTCACGAGTCCCTACTCCCAAGCCTTGACGCGCTATAACTTTGTCATTTTTTGGTTGATTGCCCAAAGAAAAATACCTGTCCATTATTTTTTAATCATCTAACTGACGGACTAAATAGAATTTCGTTTACTGTACGTGTGTATTTTAACACTGTTTTAGGCGGTTTTGATTAGAAATTACTTGAGATTCAAATTTAACGTGCCCAAAACCTCCGGACTGTAAAAAAAAAAGTCGTTTGACCAGTTGCGTAATTATGCCATTTTGTTCGCCAACTCCTCATAAGTAACCATGGTTTACAGTGAAAATCAATCACTATCACATGTCATATACTCCATATTTGCTGTCATATAAGTTTTGTATGACTTTTAAGTCTATTGTTTTAAAGTTTGGTAAAATTCAATCACGTAAATATAAGAATGAGATTTTTATAAGTTTGATGTAACGAACTTAAGAATACCATGACAGATAGAGTCTGTGCGGAAAGAGAATGGGATTTAGATTGGAGGGCGCTGTAGTGCTTTTCTACCGTATTTGTAAGGTTTTACCCCTTTTAGACATGATTAAATACAAAAAACCGCAAGAAATCACAACAACAAACAAATATGTTTCAATAGAAAACTTTGACCTATTTACAGATTGCTGGGTTTGATTGCCAAATAAAAATCTTAATGTTAGTTCCGTTTTTCGCCACGCCCGTTCTCTTTCCGCACAGACTCTATATGATTAACTTGAAATATAATCATCACTAATTTATCTACGTTTGTGTAACTTGGTTTATAGGTTTTTTGAAGTTATACTTCTTTAGGCGCGTTATGAAAAAATGATGAGAGTGAAATTTTAAGATGCGCGCGCATCACTGTAACACAAAAAATTAACAGCATGAAGTTGGTCGCTTTAGCGACCAACTTCATGCGTTACTTTTGTGTTTACCGCACATTAAGAAAATCTACCAACAAAATAGAAATAGAATCTCTATTTTGTGGGTGCTAACGACTGCATTATGAAGGCCTATCAAAAGTATTTATTAATCTGGAACAACGGAACCAAAGCGCGATTCAGGAGACTACAGCGCCATCTCTTGACCATTGGTGTAGTAGAGCCAAAAACTACATCTTTATTTTTTGTAATAAAGTAACAAAAAGTATTTATTAATCTGGAACAACGGAACCAAAGCGCTATTCAGGAGATTACAGCGCCATCTCTTGACCATTGGTGTAGTAGAACCAAAAACCACATCTTTATTTTTTGTAATAAAGTAACAGTTATAGGTATTCATATTTATAATATTTATCCACATGTTTCTAGTTTGTATATTCGGAATACGTGTTTGAGTTTCATACAAGTGCAAATCACATATGTTCTAATAAATTATATTCAGTAGCGATTTTAATTGAATATTTTGATTATTTATTTATTTTTTCAAATTAAAACTGAACTTTATTGACTGTGTCCTTTTCCAGACTTCTTATTAATTTATTGTAATTAATTATTTGCATGCAATTAAAAACTAATTTTAAACGATGCCAAAGAAGGATAACTTCTCACGCGCCTACATAAGTACACGCACCCATTTTTTTTTATTGCTTTTTGCTTTCGTTGCTTTTATTTAATAGCTTTAGCAGACTAGAGATTCTCTTTACAAACTCAAGTGTCGAGTCTTTCAGAGGTATTGAATTGAGATAATGATGAAACGGGCACGATCGCATTTCTATGTTGCAATTTATTGTATCAGGAATCCTTTTTCCATTTGAATTATAGCAAATTCCACTACACCGTGTACTCTATGATATATACAAAGAACCCCGAGTTAGGGTAATGCATTTCGATTTTTCTGACTGTCCATGTAATAATTTCCATTGCACATTCCTTATAATTCAAATTATATAACATTTAATAATTTTGAAACATTTAAATAACACAAACTGAAAAACTATATAGCCTAACCTACTTAAATAAATAATTAAAAATAAAATAATATAATTATAGTAACGGCACGTTATGATGGCCGTTTGGACGTTTGTGCGTTCAGGAAGTTTCGTATTCTAAATTAGTTCTACATTTGAAAGAAATAATTGTTGTTCTTCATCTTTATATATATAACTAGCAAACCAGTGAACCAAATGTTCACCAAAAAAAAAAATGTATTTAATTAATTGAGAACTTCGGAGATTTTGTGTGGTTTCGTTTGAAATAGAAATCACGTGATTTCTCGAAAACCGGAAGTGCTACGTTACTCACATCCGGTTTGTAGTCTTATCAGACTATTCTTAACTTATAACTTAAACATTCTCTATATCTATCTCTTACGGTTTGGCCGCTGAAACAGCACCACGGACGGACGGACGGACTTGTCTAATAGATAAGAGATTCTTCTGTGAGTGTGTATGTCACTGAACTTCTCTTAAACGACTGGACCGATTTTGATGAAAATGTTTTGTGTGTGTTCAAGGGGATCTGAGAATGGTTTAGATTCACAATTTTGTCCGCTGCACAATGTTTTTTTAATTAATTTTTAATTTATTAGTAGTTGCTGATTTTGAAATGTTTTACATTGGATCCGACAGACGACGCTACCATACTAGACAGGACAACGTCTGTCGGGTCCGCTAGTTGTCTATATAGTTTCCAAAGCTATCCCGTCCGTTGATAGGCGCCTATCCAAGCGCGAAACTTGTTATTCTGTTACTCTACACCACGTGCAAACTAATTAAAATGTCCTAAAGTTAAACGTTAGCTCGCAGGGTGGATTAGCGAAATAATTGTGTACATAAGTGCAGATAGGTAGTAGATAGTAGGGTTGGCAGTTGGTCAGGATTCTCCCGACATATCACATGATATCCAGAATCTAGACAAAGTACGAAATTTTCCAACAAATGGGCATGACGATACGACCTAGATTTAAGATCTATGTCTGCTGACGACACACTTATCGTATTGTAAACACATACACACACACACACACACACACACAAAAATATTGAAAATCGTACACCAGAGCGAGACGTAGACTGATTCAAAGCATTAACCACAGACTAAAATGTTACCCAGATATTAAACGACATTTTCACTACCCAATTTTAATCTAATTTAATGTAATGTGTCAAACTATGTCATATAGTTTTGATTATTTATTATTATTATTTAAAATTCAGTAATGATTATATTTTATTTATTTTTATTAATATTATTGTTATTGTTTGAATTTAGTTTGAATAATTGACGAGTTGTGATACAACGATTTCATTTTAAGATAAAATGGGACAAAATGCAATTGTTATTGTAATTTTTAATATGGGTTATTGTGCCTGAAATAAACATTTATTATTATTATTATTAAGGATCCTATCCAATGGGTGCGTGTGGACCCTAGCTATAGGACAGCAATAATTACACCGCACCGATCGCTCAACATCGGGTCCCATACTCCCTAACTTATATTACACCACCATTAGTCAGGGTAAGGGACCCTTAAAAAAAATCAATTCAAAATTCAATATCGTTTATTCAATCTAGGCTGTTAAATGCACTTGTGAATGTCGAAAAGCTACGCCATCGGTTCGCAAATCTACGGCGGGAGACCTTGTACTGAGAAGAACCGGCAAGAAACTCAGCAAGGGCTGTTTTTTTCTCCCTGTATTATATACAGAGTCGTCAAATTGAAAAATGACTTCAATATGAAATAACTCATGAAGTCACTTTCCATTACGAATTTTTTTACCACGTACGACAAAACTGTGGAATATATTATCGCCAGCAGTGTTTCCGGACCAATACGACCCAAAAACCTTCAAAAAAAGAGCGTACTCCTTCCTTAAAGGCCGGCATCGCATTTGTGATACTCCTGGTGTTGCAAGTGTCCATGGGCGACGGTGATTACTTACCATCAAGTGAGCCGTCTGCTCGTATGCCCCCTATAACATAAAAAAAACTAATTTAAATGATATAACAATTATGACTATAAAAATTGGGTAGTATAAATGCCGCATTAAGACTTCTCGATCTGGCAGCAACCCTAGAGCCAGAGGAGGGAGGCGGTATGAACGGATCAAAGTATCCGCTACTCTTTTCCCGTGCCCGCTCTGAGCAATACATGTCGCGTCTGAGCTGAGCACGACGCGAACTGCTGAAGCTCGATTTCGCCAAAGTCGAATTCAAACTTTTTTCGAATC